CCAATAAATATATATATAAATATATAAATAAATAAATAAAAGAATTGTTAATAGTGATAGCACTCAAGTTCAACAACTCTGAGTCCCAAGTTTGCAAAACTAGTTGATTAAAAGGAAGAAACTAAAAAACTAGGATTTGTGGAAAAAACAATTCATCTAACTGATCCTCACCCACAAAGTACCATACTAATCAGGGTGTTATTAAAACTTTATTATGAACTTCAGCAACAACTTGATTCAAAGCTTTTTGCAACATACCAAGTAAGAAGTGCGACCAATTACTGAAAATTTATGCCAAACATTGAGCTAAGAACTTCAAATATTTGTCGTAATATCTACCAACAATTGGACATAGTCATTGTATCCTACTTCAGAGACGAATAGGTTGAGATGAAATTACTGTTCCAAGGCAGACAATTTCTCAGTGCTAGAGACAAAACCAAAAATAAAAATAAAAATAAAAACCTATGTCCAAACTATGCAAACTTAACAACTAACCCGTACCTTCAAATTCTACCCTACAGTGACGTGGTATCCTGGTCCTCCTCTCTGAGTTGCCCCGGGTCTTCGATTGCCTGACCCATGAAACCAGGGGCTGTATCTTTGTCACCACTAAAGTCTAGAAGAGTGGCTAGCACTAAATAGGCACACAACCAAATTTAAACATCAAATGGTGCACATTATCAGTTAATCCTAACCACAACCTTAGTTTTTACCTGTTTCACCTCTCAATAAATGAAACATGTTTTCTCAAAAACTACTCTGATGCTTGATTTGTCCATTTCTCCTGGTAGTTCTGGATACCTTTTCAATCTTTATGGTTTTAGAACTATGTTGAGGCATCTCCCTAGTGATTCAGCTTTTCAAATGTTATATAGAGACTTCTTCTCTCCTAAACATATTTTTTTTGTTTTAAAGTGTGTTTTATCTGAAATTAATACCTTGTCAGCTTCAACTTGGGTTTGTGTTTTATCTTTTTCTGTCTTTTTATTGTAATTTAACCTTCTTGATCTTTAAGTTTTAGATGTGTCTTCTGAGGCAGAATTTTGTTACCATTTTCAAGTCGATGCTCAGTCTATTTTAATAAGCATATTTAACTCATGTACATTTATTCTTAAAATATTTGGGCCTGTTCCTACCATTTTAATGTGTGCTTTCTTTTATATGATCCTTTCCCCCTCCTTTCTTATTTCTAATATTCAATTTCTGCCATGTTTATATTCTAATTGTATTTCTTTTTCTTTTCTAGCCTGGAAGTTTTGTGCTCAATTTCAACTCTTTTAATGGTGTCCTTGAATGCTACCATTTGCAGGTGTTTTGAAACTTTGTTTCATTTTTTAAAAATTCTGTTCTCTTCTGAAAGAGATGAAGTCTGAAAACTGCCACCTTTTCTAAGAACAATCTGTCAAAAACTTGACAATAAAAGAACAAGGTAAAAGAACAAGGAAACTGTTAAGAAAATGTTTTGTTGCTATGAAACATGAATCATATGCAAATTGCAAATACATGAAACAGAAAATACACAACTTCAAAGTCTTCGTGGGGTAAACACAGGAAAGTTGACTTGCCAAGAAAAAGGAAAATTAACTCTTTTACCTATAAGTGATTTTTTTAGGCTGGTAAGTACTTTTGTAATCTAATCACAGTTCTTCGTTTCCAGAAAGTAAAAATAATTTGCCCAAAATGTTGATTTGTGGGCATGAGGTCTACCATGACAGAGTATTTTTTTCTATGACTATTCACGGACAGAGGTGCAGAGAAAAATCCAAGCATAAAATAACAACTGTAAGAGCAATACTGCTTCTGACATAAGCCTCTCCATCAGAGCAGAACCACTAGACCCCTCACATCAGGTAAGGAAAGCCAGTTGTTGGAGATTGGCTGTCATTAATTGACTTTTATTTGCAAGTCACATGCCTACAATCCAAGCACCTGCTCTCAGAGTGACAGTTGTGACCAGTAAATTAACAACTAGTTTTCAAGTAGGCAAGTCAACCTACTGAATTTTAAGCTTATGGTCTCTTTATTGAAATTACAAAGCACAACAAAGTGACCTCTCATGGCTAATCACAAAGTTCACTTAGTAAATGTATAAGGAATTGAGGCTCCAAAGTCTATAAGGAGGACCATCCATTATTTTCTAGTTACTTGGAGGGTCATATATAATAGCGTTTCCAAATAGATATTGTGCAGAAAACCAGTTCTAACAGGTTTTTAAGGGATCTTGTGGGGGGGGGGGGGGATCCAAAGGTTAAATACACATATAAAATGCTAGGTTAAGTGGTTACAAAACTTCCAGTTCAGGTCTTCTTAGAGACTTTTCTATAGTTAAGGTGCTTCCTGAAGAGGAACTGTTAAGGCTTATATCTAGATGTCCCCCCTAAAACCTTATGCACTCACAGGTGGAGCTTTAGGGAGTGACTGGATCATGGATGTGTGATACTAATTCATGGGTGTATGATACTGGATTAGTCCACTGATTGGCTTAGCACAGTTCTGGGTGTGGATGGTGGATTTACTGAAGAGGGAATACCCACCTTAGGTGTAGGTGGCACTGAGCAATAGGCTTGTAGCCTGAATGGAATAAAAACAGAAAGCAAAAGGAAGGCTACTGGTTCCTGCCTTCCATGCCATGGACTTTTTCTCCTTTGCAATGCCCCTCTGCCATGCTTCCCTGCCTTGGAGCCAGCTGACTATGGAAAGAAATCGCTACAAACTGTGAGCTAAAATAAACCTTTAATTTGTGGTTGCCAGATATTTTGTCCCAGTGAGATACTAACTAAGACACTAGCTGATCCAAACAACAGAATCTTTTTCTCACGAGTACTTTCATTGAACATAAGTTGAAAAACACAATTTAAAGAAAAGCAAACTTTTACAATTAACACAGCATTTTTCTCACTAAGCTGGTGCGTGTGTGTGTTAAAATATACATAGTATGAAATTTATCATTTTAACCATTTGTAAATGTACTAATCCATGGCATTGAGCACATTCCCTTTGTTGTGAAACCATCATCATCATCCATCTAGAATTTTTTTCCTCTTGCAAAACTGAAGCATCATACCTATTAGAATCATAACAACCCATTCTTCTCCTGCCTCTGGAATTACTGTACTTTCTGACTTTATGAATTTGCCTACTTTACATACCTCACCTAAGTGGCACCATACAGTATTTGTTTTTCTGTGACTGGATGGTTTCACTTAGCATAATGTCCTCAAGATTCATCCATGTTGTAGCATATGTCAGAATATCTTCCTAAGTCAAATACTGTTTCACTATAGACACCACATTTTGTTCATCCATCCATTTGTTACCCTATGTAATGGACATTGGGTTCCTTCCAACTTTTGCTATTGAGAATTATGCTGCTATGACTCACTAAGCTTTATTTAAAATTAATTCCATTCTGGTTTTATTCATGAAGTAGAAAACATTTAGGTCAAAATTATCTTTTCTCCCACAAAGTCCTTTCTGATGAATAAAACTTTCTGGCTGTGACTAAAAGCTTCCAACATGCTGGTGTCACAATTTCTCACAGACCCCCCTTCAAGGAAAACATCTGGCAGCTACATAGAACCTTCCAGAGAGCACACACCCCTTGCTATCCCTATTTCCCTGCTTAACTTGTCCTCTTTTATAACAAGAAATTGTTTATATCACAGCACTTCAAACCCATTGAAGCTCTTATCACCAGGCAGGAAGCACTGTGACTAGATCTGGCTTTTTTCTAATTGGAAGAAAATATTCTCCTTTCATGGGGGAGAGCCTTTCATCAAATGTTTAATAACCAGCAATCACCATCTTTACTGGGATTTTATTGCTCTGCATCAAATTCCTTTAAGACTTAAGAATAAAGAAGAAATATCCTGTTTTCTTTTAAAACAAGAGAAGCGTGAATTAGCATGACCTCATGCTATGGACAGTGAGAAGAGCGCAGGGTTGTTGTTAGGAATTAGAAGGAAACCGTGTTGACCAGACAAATCACGTGGTATGGGAGGAAGAGACTAAGGAACAGCAGAGGAAAAGTTTGTGTCTTTGCTTCTGGAAAGCTAAGATAGTAATACCTTCCCAGAGGACAAAAGAATATCAAGAAGTCGAACTATATATTGCTCCATGTGCAGGACATAAAGCTCTACATTGTGTTCTCTTGAACTTGACATCTTGCATATCCTTAAAGCCAAACTTTACAGCTCCTGATTGCATGAATCCTGGCTGCCCCAGTCTGTCCATCCCACTGACTGTCCTGACCTATCAGATTGAAATAAAAGCAGATCAAGCTAGATTCTGCATAGGACAAGTAATCAGTACCCTCTCTTCCTCCATTCTAATTGTTGGAAAATTTTAGAGGCATATTTCTCCTGGTAACTGCTTGATCCAACTTTCTCCTTTCACAAAATTCTTGTAATCTGCTACATCCCCCCTTCGCCACTGTGCATAAATCCATAACTGGAGCTCAGTCCTTTGTCCTTTTATTTCCCAATGCAACATTCACACAGACAGGTATGAAGAGTGGGTTTAATGGAGGCTTATGGAATACTAGCAAAGGGGCCACTGTCCTGACAACTCCCCAGGACTGGATATAAAGCCTCTCACCTGCTTTCTCTTCTCTGTTCCAAGAACCTTGCTAAGTTCTCTCCACAGCATACCCTCTCCCCAAGATCAATCCTGCAGCTTTGGTAAGGAAAAGAGGACAGAGGGGATGAAGGGGCTATCCTCAACTTGTTCCTCTTAAGTTGCCCTTGGACCTTCAAAATTTTGCTTTCATTATTTGTGCAGAATTGTTATCTTTGACTAATATTAACCAATCCAGAACAGTCCCCAAGGCTATTCTTTAATATTTCAAAATATAGCATATTTTGAGATGTTATAGCAAATACATTCCTTCTCTAAGGTGCAGAGTTCAGACTTCATTATCAATGTTAAGCCTATGCTTCTTGACCAGAGCTGATCTTTGCTCAGGTGTTGCATACTTTATTAAAGACAAGAAGACAGAAATTAGCACAAAGTCCTGTTCAGGGATTAACTCTCCAGTGTCACTCTGACTGGAAGATTGCCTAGAGAGCCAACGATCTATGTTCACGTTGCAGTTTCCTCCTTGGCCTGCCTGAAATTTCGTGTTTAGGGCAGAAGGGAAGTTGGTCTCCATAGAATCCCAGAAAACAGGAACACAGAGACACCATTTTGGAAAATTCATTCAAGCACTGTCCAGGGAAGAGCATGTCCAGGATCCTGGTTAGTTTGATCTGGAACAAGTTCATCCCTGTTGTGACGCTTTCTGTGCCCACTCACTGCATAGACTTTGAAAACTGGAGTTCCCATGTAGATGGACCACAATCAAGAAAAGTGCTGACAGGCTAATACTTGCATTTGGTCTTCTTGGCAGTGCATTCTTCACTGTAAATTATGAAATCATCAGTCTGGTTTCATAAATCTTCTTTTTGAGAGCTCTGTTAGCATAAGTCAGCATTCTAGTACCGTAAACTCTAGAAGATCTCGTCCTAAGATGAGGAGCCAAGGGCCTAACCTAGGCGTGAGTGCATTCACCAAAGGAAATCCCAGATGACAATGTCACATTTCTTCACTACAAGTTAATTGGCCTTTCCCAGGCAACTCCCCTCCTGCCTTTCTATGGGGCCTCTTCTTCAGTGGAGGAAATAGAAATTAATTTCATAATTTCAAGCAGGAAGGGATTTAATCCAGAGAGTGAAATCTATTGAAATTTATTAAAAGGCTATAAGGAACCAGTCAAGTTCCAGACCAGGCCTCCTGGATGATCTCCAGAGACAGAAAACTGATTCATCATGGGAGCTACTCCTGAGAGACTGTCACTGTAGCTGTAAAAGCATAGAGCCACTCCCCGTCAGCTTCTTCTTATGCTCAGGAAGTTGGAGTGTGGGTGCCTCAAACTGTAATTAAAATTAGAAGTCAGATCAAAACGCTATGGACAAGAATGGCTGCTATCAAGATATCAACCAATAACAAATGCTGGCGGGGCTGTGGGGAAAGAGGAACCCTGCTCCACTGCTGGTGGGAGTGTAGACTGGTGCAACCACTGTGGAAATCAGTACGGAGATACCTCAAAGAACTAGGGCTAGAGGTTCCATTTGACCCAGCTATTCCACTGCTGGGTATCTTCCCCAAAGAATTAAAAGAATCATACCACAGCGATATATGTGTACCTATGTTTATAGCAGCACCGTTTGTAATAGCCAAAACATGGAAACAGCCCAATTGTCCATCAACTGGAGACTGGATAAAGAATATGTGGGGTTTTTTTATAAAATGGAGTACTACTCAACCATAAAGAATGAGAAACATTTATAGCTAAATGGATGCACATTGAGGGCATACTCTTAAGTGAAATAAATAGGACACCCATGTGTAAATACCAAATAGTTTTTCTGCTGTGAGAAACTGAAAGAGTAAACAAGGATCAAAATGTATAATAGATAATGTGAAACAGAAAGAAAAGGTCCAAGAGGGAAGGGGAAGTAGGAGGGGTAGGGGAAAGGAAAAAAGGGAATAGAATTAATATGAGAAAAGGAAAAAATCAGAAACAAAGTCTTTGTAAATAGAGAGGGGTGGAGGGGTTGAAGGGAGGGCAGGGGAATGGGGAAAAAATAAGAACCAAGATATATCATGTCTTTACCTTTGTACAAATTCCCAGTGATGAACATCATCATATTGTATACCTAAAATGTACCAACAAAATTAATGAAAAAAAAATATAAAAATGTTTTTAATTGTTTAAAAAAGAAAAAAAAAGCTATGTACAATACCACTCCCTCTCTGCCCCCAGGGCGATGAGCCCTGGAACCACCAACAGACATGCTGTATGTCTCTACAACTTTCTTTGCAGGAAAACAACCTCCATTTCACCCCTAACTTTTAAAAACTTTTTACAAGTGCCGAACTCTATGACTGGTAAAAACCAAATTCACTTCCTGAAGCCTGGATACGGCAAAGTCTAAGGAACGTAGTTCTTAGTCCTCTAGCCCCTCCAGTAAGAAGAATGCTGACATAGGGGCCGGGGATTTAGCTCAGTGGTTCCAGCACCTACCTCAAAATCGCAAGGTCCCGAGTTCGATCCCAGATATCCAAAAAAAAGAAGAATGCTGACATGGAGGCTGAGTAGCCCGATCCAGGGCATCCAGAGAGGACACTTCACTCTTTACACATGTGATCTCTCCAGGAGTTAGTGGAAGATACAGAATTTGAAAACAGTATCTAATTCATATTCTTCTTATTCTACTACCTGATGTACACATATTTGGACAGTTTATTGTTGTAAAGGGCCTTATTCTGTGGACCCAAGGTAACTACTGAAGTTCAGCTACAGCACTCTGTGGAACTGTTTCTCCTTACACCACTACACATATGTGAGATCTAGGAATATAGAGGAGGAATGAAGGATTGATACACTGATATCAGTAGCTCTAACTGTGTCAAGTCTTTTCCATGGATTCACCCATCTATGCTTAACCCCATAAGCATCTCCCTCTGATGAGAAACAAACGACTCCAGAAGATGGAGAGATCAAGTCCTACCCTACACATGCTATATTTATGATGCCTATTCAAGATTCAGGTTGACTTACTGAGTAGACAAATTTATAAGTTGGAAACAAAGGTAGATGTCAAAACTTGAGGTGTAAATTTAGGCGTTACTAACAAAAAACAACATTTTAAATCATGCCATAGTTTTGAGATCACCTGGGAAGTGAGAAGTCTTGAGAATCAGTCCTGGGAAACTCCAGGACTTAGAGTTTCAGACAGGCAGAAACCAGAAAGGAGAGAAAACAGAGTGCAAGATCCAAAAAGAAAAGTGAAGATGTGCCTTTGAGAAGAAGGTATTGTTGAGGGTTGAATCAGACCAGAAAAGAGAACTGACTGTTGACAGTAACAAGATGAAAGTCTTTTTGGCCTCCCGAAGGTGGTTTCAGAGGAGAAGTAGATTGGAGGTAGATAAGAAGATAATGGAAAGTGAGGGTATAGGAAAATAAAGCATAAATTAGCCTTACAATGAGTGTTACTGGTGAGGAGCAGGGACAGGGGGCCATAATTAGGGTTGGCATGGGGGTCAGGAAGGGGTTCTGAAAGCAGGAAGCCTGACATAGAAGCAGAGGCTGTTCACACCCCATGGCAGGAGGGAGGATATTGGGTGAGTTGGTGGATTTGGTGGTAGGAAGGTGAGGAAGTTTTCAAATATGAATTGATGCCCTTGATGGAGAGTGAGCAGGCCACTGAAGGTTAAATGAATGTGGAGGGAAACAAATGTGGACAAAGTGACTCAGAATAGGAGGACAATTGAGGAGGAAAACCCAGGAGGATGACTGAAAGCCATTTGAAATGTGTGGACATCCATTTAGAATAAGACCATTGGAGGGGGGTGTGGACACAGAGAAGGCCAGGAATAAATTTGTTCATGGCTGATTTGTTCATGTCTGGTTTATCAGATGTGTAATGGGATGATGATGGGGAAGCGTAGCAAGAAAATTACTAGTGTGAACAAAGACCTAATTATAGTGTCAGTGACGGTCCACGAAACCAAGTGGGATAAGAAGAAAAGTAGGTCCCAGTGGGGAGTGAGGGAAATGAGATGGTGGTGGGATCAGGGGACCTCAATACGGTTAGAGATCTGTTCTAGAGCAATTCATGAGATAAGGGAAATTGGAGGGAAATTGGAGGGAAATTTTGAAGCGGATTAATTTTTGTGACAACAGAATTTATCTTATTTAGGACATTAGGATGAGCGTCTGCAAGCCAAATCTTGCCCTTTACCTGTTTTTGTAAATAAAGTTTTTTTGGAACATAGAGTCATCTTCATTCATTTATGTTTTTTCTACGGATGTTTTAGTTCTAGTGACAGAGTTGAGTATTTGCAACAGAGATCTTATAGGCAGCAAAATTTAAAATATTAACTATCTGGCCCTTTACAAAAAATGTTTGCTGACCTCAGTGACCTTTCAAATTTATGCCCCAGTGAGTGGAATTATCCCTGAGACTTGCACATTACCCCAGCACATGAAGGGGGCCAAGCAGACATGAGCCAGTGATAGCTGCACGAGTGACTTCCTGGGGCTTGGATATTTCAGGACTCAGAAGGGACTGGTGAAGATTCAGATTTGATAACTTCTTTGAGGCAATGTGGCATATTTTAGGGTAAAGGTGTGCGTGTGCATGCCTGTGTGCGTGCGCACACACGTGCTTGCATGTGTGTGTGTGTGTGTGTGTGTGTGTGTGTGTGTGTGTAAGGGTTAAAAGAAAAGGACACCAGGAATGAGGAGAGGAAAGTTAAGAACTCCACTCACATGGAACTTCACCAACCACCCCTTCACAATGCCTGGTCAAGGAACTTCACCTCTTGCTCAGGATCAAACAGCAAAGCTGTGAGAGGCCTGGCTGCCTGCCACGGCCCAGGAACTCCACCCTGTAAAAGTTTACAGTAGAGGCCAAAGATTTCCTATACAGATCTGGATACAGCTGTATCAGAAGCCACTGCAAAAAGACCTGTGAGAAACAGTGAGATAAATCTCCAATGCTGTCTGATCTTGCAAGGCTTAAGAAGGTTCATTCTGTGTCAGAAAAATAAGTCAGCTTACCCCAAGGGCTCCTCTGTAGTTACTTAGTTGTCTCTCTTCCCTTGTAGACTTTAGCTCCAGGAGAATAGGACTGCACCAGATTTGCTTATCACTCACTGGTAAATATATTGTGAAAAGTAGTTAAAAGGGTTTAATTAACCATGTGGGACAGATAGTAATCATAAAAAACAAATGCTTTTATATATATGACTCAGTCTTAATGGCTAGCTTCAATATGAAACTGGTAATCTTTCACCCCTATTTTGGCTCAATTCAGGTGCATAGAGGTAACATAATAGATTAATCACCTTCATGTCACTATAACGAAATATCTGGTGCAGGCTACTTATGAACAAAAAAGGGTTTATTGAGCTCACAATTTTGAAGGTTCAAAGCCTAAGATTGGGCAGCTCCATTGTTCTGGGCTCTGGTGAAGTGAATGGATGGCAGCACATTGTGGCAGGAGCAGATGTAGGAGCAAGTGGTCACCTCTCAAACAGCAAGCAGGGAGGGACTAGAACCCCACAATCCCTTGAAGGGCATGCCCTAACTGACCTAAGGACCTCTGATCTCATCTCTTAAAGCTCCACACCACAACACTTCCCAGTACCACCATCCTGGAGACAAAGGCTCCAACCACAATAAATCATTAGGAGACACTCAAATCACACCCAAACTTGCCCACCATCCCAGAACCAGTAAGTAAAGGAGACCAGATTCCAATCTAGGCAATCTGGCTCGGGTTCACCTCTTAACCTGCACCCCAGATGGCATTGCCATAACATGCCAATCACTTTATTTACAAGGTATATTCATGCGTTTATTAAGTACTCAATGGTCCCTAAGCTGAGAAATACTGAGCTGGACTCTCTACCCCTCCTGTTCATCATCCAACAGGGAGACACTGACCTGAGTTCTCAATACACACAAAAACATTCTTAAAAGGAGTTGAGCCAGGTACTGGCCAATCCCCTCGGTTTTTCTAGGAACAACAGTGATCATGCATTTTGGATGCGGAGAGGAGCAGGTACAGTAACTGAGTGATCAGTCCCTGGAGAGAGGAGGAAGAGGGCAGGGCCTGGAGAAGTCTATAGAAGAATCGTGGTTGGCCTGAATCTGGAAATGTGAGTATTGAAGGTGGGCGTGAGGGGAAAGGCTGCTGTGCTCAAACACCAGGGGCCCAGAAACAGGTGGCACAGCTCCCAGTGCTGGCAGAGCCTTGCTGAGTGGCTGACATGACTCATGTGTTCCTGATAGGTCTACCTGTCCAGCTAGTGCATTTGGCCTCAAAGTGGGCCCTCGAGGTGAGGCCATTCTTTTACCCCTGTTCATGGGTCCAGTGGGACTGCAGTGGGAACAGAACCCAGGTCCCGGGCTCCTGTTCAGTGCCGGTGTCAAGAGACTTCTCAGACCTTCTAACACATTGGAGAAGGCCGAGCTGAGCCATCAGTGTCCTTGTGCAGCCAAGAGAAGAAAGCCAAATAATAGAAATGGCCACTGCACCGTCAGAGTTGTCAGATGACCAAGAACCCCACTAATTTCACAGCCATCAATGGAATGCTCTTGTTCTTCAAGGTACTATGCTTGGTGCTGAGCTACCAAGATTCAAAACCATTCCCTTCATTCTTCCAGCAATTTTTTATTTAGTATTTCCCAAATACGGTATACTGTGATATAACAATGTAACGAAGAAAGACATAGTACTGGCTCTCTCAGAATCACTAGTCTAGTATAAAAGACATCCATAAATAATTGATCTCACAAATAAATACTTAAATTACAATAGTGAAAGGCACCACAAAGAGAAGTATAGCAGCTAGCTTAGTTGCATCCCAGCCAGTATAAATGACACATAAGCTGAGAGTTGAGATATGAGGATTTGCCCAGGCAAAGAGGAAAAGGAAGAGCATTCTAGAGAAAGGAACACCATGTGTAAAGACTCAGAGAAGGAAGGAAACTGCACAGAAGAAGATCAACATGGTGAGAGAGGCAGTGCATAGGGAAATAAGCTCCAGAGAGGAGTATGGGCTCTTTAACTTAGAGCAGCATTCGATTGACTATTAAAATGATTGCTCTGCTCACTGGGCAGAGAATGCTTTCAACAGTACCAAGATGGAATCCATTCTTTCCTCCAGGAGCACGGCACCTCACAAAGAAGACAGATCTGTCCACAGCTCACCTCAGTACTGATCTGACCACCTTCTTAGCACTCCTCACAGAGGTAGAGCCATAACATATCTGGGTCCCAGAGGAAGTGGTCAAAGCCAGCTTAACCCCAGGAGATGAGGCGAAGGAGGCCATGTCCCGCCATTCAGATGGGACTGCCTTCCCCACCGTGACAGGCACTGAGGGTTGGGACCACCTCGGGAATATTTCACAGCTTCCCCATCTAACTCAGCTCTTTCTGTCCCTGGCAAGTCCGTGCCCATACCCACCAGGCATCTGTTAAGATTTCTGCACAGCTGCTCTTAGCAAGGGCTTCACTTCCTTCCAAAGCAGAGTGAATCCCAGTACTGCACATTCTCACCTAAATCACAACTTTGCTCTTGGTAAACAAGAGGATTTTAAGTGGTCAGAAGAGATAGTAGGCGTTTGTGGGAGGAAACAAGGAAGGGGTTACTACAGAGGCATTTACGTGGCTAAAGCCTGATCATTGCCCTGTTTACAGTAGTGGACTCAGGAGACATCAATATTTGGTAGACATTTTCCCAATAATTGGTGATGCCCTATCGGAGAATGTGATTATAGTTTATCACCAGAAATAAAATATTAATTGAGCTAAACATATGCCCCAAGTTATATTGGGTCCATACCCAGCCTCCTTCTCTCATTTCATTTAATCTTTACTTCACTGGCCTTCATTTCTACATCCTTTATTCTGTCTTTGAGGAAAATGGCAATCAAATAGGTCCACTGTGTGAGCTCAACAAAAATGTCAATGAGTTGGATCCTTAAATTTAATTCTTTAGCCCAGACTTTCTATGCCCTAGGCTTACAAAAGCCTCTGATGATAATGGCAGGTAGAGATTGTTATAGAAATATAGAACCACAGACTTGGAATTTAAGCATATGACTCTTCTTTGCAGAAACTGCTTTTAAGGAATTTTTTTAGGAAGGAAGAGGGGTGTGTATCAGCTTTGGGTGTTGATTACCACACCCTTAATACATCAGCATTTCTTGCCTGTACAAACCTAAGCCAAAAATCCCCTCAAATTCCCTTAAACTCATGGGAGGCCCAAGTCTCTGAACAGGAAACAAGATCTCAGCAGAAGGGCAGGATTAGACTCTGCTACCATAGATGCAATACTTTCCAAATGGGCTATGAAATGAGCACTCAAAAGAGAACACATATCTGCCCGGTAAATATTAAAGATCTATAAAAATTCACAGTATTTGGCCAAGCTCTATAATAGGGCCCTAGTCCCACCCCACCCCCGCCCCAGTAGAGCTAAGCGATGAAAATCTATGTAAGAGTGAAGTGTCTGTCCAGGGGAATAAAACACCAAGGAGCTCTTTGTTAGTTGAAATTTTATCTTTTAGAATAAGCTAGGACTAGCCTGGGCAAATCAGGATGTCAGATCATGTTACAATATACCACATTTAAATGTGTCATTCTGACTCATTGACTGAGAAACCTAGAGGCATGCTAGATATAAATTAGGCTGAAAGCAAAGAAGACTCTGCAATTAGTCCAATTAGTGATAACTGCTCAGCCACTTGGGCCTTATAATTCAAAAGATCCAGTCATGCTCACAGTGTCTACGGCAGATAAGGATGCTGATGAGCTCCCTGACAAACAGTAGTGACACAGCTGCCCCTAGATCAAAGCCAAAGTATTCTCCTTTGGGAACCAGCTCCTGGCTTACTGAAGGCCCCTCCTTGAGGCTTAATGCCTGACCATGCAACCCAAAATACCATTTAATCACAGCCATTCTTTTGAGCTAGGTATTACCTGAGACTCAGTTTACAGCAGTGGGCATGCATAGTAACATGCCATAATTAAGTAGAAATGGTCCTAAAACATACGTCAGTTAGACGAACAGTTGGCTCCAGTCTCCTATGACCTCTGTTCTCTCTATATCAGAGCTAAACTGGAATCACACCTGACTAGGTTTTCAAAAATGCAGTCAGTCTGCAAGACACAGCTGCCTTCTGGCCAGGCTGACAGGCAAGGTAAGGGAGATATTCCAGGATCACCATCCTTTCCTCTTTTAAGCCTTTGATGGTGGCACCAACTTATGTAGTTCATCCAGGTGTATAACATTGACTTCAGCTTGTTGTTGGTAGGAGAGGAAGCTCCAAGCACTTCTGCTCTGCTCTTCCTTCTAGCTACCAATAGAGCTATTCCAAGCATGCATTCAGCAATAAGATTTAGACCAAAACTTCATTTATCCTCAACTTCCATGAGCCCTCAAATCTGGTGGATCATGGATACATTTCAGGTACCCTGGGATTAACATGAATTCAAATTTTTCTGTCTATGACTCCTGAAGATGTTGTATTTCTCCTTCTTTAACTCGCAGTGATGCTGATGTGGGGATGCAGTTCTCTTGAGGAAATGTTGGCAGGGTATTTACTGTCAAACTGTGGTAGTGTCACAAGCACCTTCCTCAAGGAAACTCAATCTATTCTCCACTCAAAAGCCTTCACATATCTGATCTGGCTTGTGGCAGGAGTGAAAGGACCCAACTCTATATCGTGATAACAAGTTGCCCATACTCATGCCTGTAATCCAGATCTCAACTCTTTGTGATTATATTTCCCCGTTTACTTGGCTGCCCACCTCTCAGCCCTAAGGACACTACTGGTCCGCCACATGAGGCACAGCTGTGTAATTCCTGCTGCTCTCTGGCTACCATTCCAGTAACTGGCCAACACTGTTCTAGCAATTTAAGTGCTGCTACGTGGCCTCAGCCACTCCGGGAGAATGTTGTAATGGTAGTGTCTAGCACTTTCACCTGCTGCTGCGATCCTTTAGGTCTTCCTGGGGACACAGTGGAGAGTCACATCTGAAGACTTTATTCCCATCTTCCTCTCTCTAAGCCTTTGGATTCCCTCTTTCCACTATACCAGAGAAGCACCTTGAGTGATTTAGGCTACTGTCAAGTCCAGTTCTCAGTTGATTAAACAAACAAATTGATAGTATGCATGTCAGATGCTCACGATAATACATCAGTTTCAAAATCTATGGCACCCCATAATGGTTGGGATCATGAATGTCCTCCAAAGGCCATGTGCTAAAGGCATGGTCCACAGCTCATAGAACTATTTTGGAAGCAGCAGAAACTTCAGAAGGTGGGGCCTACAGGAAGTAAGTAGGGATCATGTCCTTAAAAGGTATATTGAGACCCCAGTTCCTCTCTCTCTCTCTCTCTGTCTCTCTCTCTGTCTCTCTCTCTCTCTCTCTCTCCCTCTCTTACCTGGCTACCATGAGGGGAGCAGCTGTTCTCTGCCAAGCCTTTTACCACAGGCCCAGAAACAACAGAGCCAAGTAACTGTGGACTAAAACCTCTGAAAGTATGAACCCAAATAAGTCTGTCTTCCTTTAAGTTGGTTATCTCAGGTATTCTGTCATAACAACAAAAAGCTAAGATATGCCTGTGTCAGTAATTACAGTTAGGTCTATTATTATCCTTGGTAGCACATACTGTATCAGTCAGGGCTGAGTCAGAGAAAGGAAAACATCTTAGGTATCTCAAGCACAAAGGAACTTAATACAATAGGAATGCCGATGATGGGACTGGTGGGGAGTTATGTTACAAGAGACCAGGTACTGGGAGAAGCCACCTTTAGGGTTAGGGCTGCCATAACAAAGCACCACAGATTGGGTGGTTTAAACAACAGAAATTTATTTTCTCACAGCCCTTCATGCTGGAAGTCTGATGTCAAAGTGTCAGCAGGATTGACTCCTCCTGAGGCCTCTCTCCTTGACTTGCAAGTGACCATTGTGTTAGTCTGGTTCTTAAGAAAACAAAACAAAACAAAACAAAACCAGAACCAATAGAACGGATGGACTTCAGATAGATAAAGAGACATAGTTACAATCCCAGTCCAAAACTCTGAGGACCAGGGGGCTGACGGTGTGAGTTCTGAGTCTGTGTCCAAAGGCAGAAGAGATGCCCCAGCTCAAAGTCAGGCAGGGAGAGAATGAATTCTCCCTCACCCCGTGTTTTGTTCTATGTAGGCCTTGATCAGATTAAAGGAGGCCCACTCACACTGAAGACAGCAATCTGCTTCCATGGGTTTTCTGACTCAAATGCTGATTTCATCCAGAAGCACACTCACACCTGAATAATCTGCCTGCCAGCCATCTGGGCACCACATGACCCAGTGTTTCCACATAGTCTTCCATCTGTATATATTCTTATTTGCATCCAAATTTCCTCTTCTCCTTTTTTTTTTTTTTTTTTGGCAGTGTTGGGGATTAAACTCAGAGCCTTGCATATGCTAGGCAAGTGCTTTACCACTGAGCTACATCCCCAGCCCCATTTCCTCCTTTTAAAGACCCACTCTAATGGCCTCATTTTAACACAATTACCTCTTTTAAAAGTCAGTCTTCAAATCCAGTCACCTTCTGGGGTACCAAGGGTTAAGACTTCAACATATAAATTTTGGAAGAACACAATTTACCCCATAATCCCTGAAGAAGCCCACACTGGCCCACTGCCCCCCACTTCAACGGGAGCCTCTGGAGGTCTGTGTGCCAACTCCACGGAATCCTCCACTGCCACTCAAAGACTCCTGGGATCCGCATTCACCTGAGTCCTTGTTCCTCTATCCCCATGTTACTGTGCCTTTGCTAAGGGAGTCTATAACTTCTGTCACAGCCACCAAAGTACTCAGGAGCCAGTAGCCTCTGCTTATCACCAATGGCTCTACTTTAAACTACAATCTAACTCCAACCACTTATCCCTCTCCACCATACCACCCTGGCTCTCACCACCATTTTACTTCACCTAGATCGCAGTCCTAGTTCTCTAGTTCCCTTGGTTTGCATCTCCATTGTCTAGCTCTACCCAGCAAGGACAGCCATTCTCTTAACATATTAGTCAGATCATGCCTGAGATCTTCCCATTCCTCCTCTTTCCTGGGAAGAGCACAATGCCTTCTCTCTCACTCACCATTCATATCAGGACTGGCACCAGGGAAGAATTCTATTGTTATTCTTCAAAGGGGAAAATTAGGTCATGTTGCTAATTTGAGAGGGAAAAGCCAATAGAGAACAAGCGTTTGAAGATAAAAATCACGTAGGGATACTGATGTATCAAGGTCCTTGAGGAGCCAAAGAAAAGCTTATTATATATAGGCACCAACTCCTTACAATGAATGTAATTATTATATACTGCAAAAATGTACTAATTTTAAAAACTTTTTAAAAAGCCAGACACATCCATCAAAACATAAGCATAGGCCTTTGTGGGGGATGTCAGAGCTCTTTGTGTCTTGTATTTGATTTTCAGGCTTTTAAACATATACTTTGTAGCCTGTATTCCTCACCTTATCTCCCTGAACCCCACAGATCCCTGAAGCAAATGAGTCATAGTCCCTCAAACTGATTTCTTCTCACTGTCTCATATTTTCGAGGCAACATGGGACAAGATAAAGAATATGGGTTTGGGAGTTGGGGTCGAATCCTAGCAAGTCATTGAGTCTTAAAGCTTTCATCAATAATATGGGCACAAAACTGGCTTATCAAGGTTTCATGACATCAAATATGATAAAATACACAAAATACTTAGTTATGCTCAGTTTTCAATAAATGTTTGTTTTCTTTCCTACTCCCTCTCCCCAGTATTACTTCTTTTTCCTTTCTTCTCCCCATACTCTTTCTTCATGGACCAAGTCAACTTTGTGCATACTCAGACAAAGGAGAGCCTGGAAAAATAAAGCGGAAAGTGAAGTAGGAGGCCCAGTCATTGAGACTCTCACTGTCAAACTCTACTTTTAACAACGTGATCCAAAACCCTCTGGTTAAAACAGCAACTTGTGCCATTTGAGGCTTACTTGATTCTCTGGGTTCGCTCAAGCCCTGGTTTTAATCCCTTACCTGTCCAGCCTGAGTGAATGTCGGAGTGACCGATTTCTTCTATTGCCCAAAGTAATAAGATCTCTGAAAATTGTGGCTCAGAGAGGGGAATTTAGTTGGAGCTGGTTTCATTTGATAGGATACTTAAATCTCAGTGTCTGAAGAGAAATTATTTTGTCAAAATAGGAGTGTATTTGGATCCTGCTCTTTTTATTTATGTGTCATAGTTTATGATAGTGGGGAAAAGGCGCTGTACGCAGCCCTAAAAGAAACCCACTCTTTAACTGCGCTCCCCACCCCACCCCTATTCTATGAGAGGAAACAGTAGGTCAGTTTTTGGAAGAGAATGAAGAGCCCTGACAAAAGAGATTCCTGGAGATTTTTATATGTGGAAAAATATGATGACAAATACAACCAACAAATTGCAGGCACGCAAGTTTGCTGGTGTGATGGCAGCCTAGTTTTCATCAGAAGAGGGCCAGGATTGCACCTGCAGAATATTATCAAGGAAATAAAACAGATTAAACAAATCATCTACTACTATTTAATACTTCTCTTCTTTTATATTTTTTCTACATGTGATTTAACAATATAATACTTTTTTGTGTTCAAGGTTTTCAAAAACATGGTTTGGTTTGGTTTATAAAGAAGCAGCTACTGAGGTTCAGTTTGTGTGATTATTGTTCTATGGGGTTGGGGCTAAACAACAATAAAACACTTTTTCCAAAGCCTGATATTACCTCTTACCTGTGGGCACAGCTCAGGAAGGATATGAACCTCCAGGAAAGGTGCAGGACAGCTGCTCAGCTTTCTGAAGGGTGGACTGCACTTCCGTCGGGAGTAGAAGGGTGACTCAGTAACTGAGTTTGGGTAGGGGCTTTCTCTGGTCTCAAGGCAAATATGTTTCAAGTTTTCTTTCTAATTGCTCTACAAGGACAAACTAATCAGACAAATTATTTTCTATGTTGCTATTAACAGCAGCAGAGGACAGACAGCTGCTGCCATTCCTGCTAATAGGCACCAATTTTCACTTAAAGGGAACTTGACTTCCTTTTCCTTTATTTAGAGGTTGGTCTGAACAATGCAGAGTCTACATTTCCTGCACTATTGCAATATGTATCTGTATTTTTTGCACAAGCAATGAGTAATTGTTCAACATTAAGAAAAAAAGCTATCATTGTATTTCCAGATGATGCCAAGACATATTTTACTACATACAGAGCAGATACAAAAAAAGCAAAACAGGGCCGGGGATTTAGTCCAGTGGTTCTGCCGCCTGCCTCGCAAGCGGAAGGACCCGAGTTCGATCCCCGGTACCAAAGAAAAAAAAAAAACTGAAAAAAGCAAAAGCATACCAGGTATTTTGATAGCAAACTATACAGCACACTGTATGCCACATCTTCAGAATAAACAGGGTAGCTGTTACTCAGCTCACAATTATTGTTGCCATACAAAAATTCAAGTTTCAAGAAAAAAAATTCAGCTTTCAAGAAGAGATGAGTCTAGACTTTTGCTATTTTTTTCAGATTTTATAAATACTATATAGTTTTAAAAAATAAAACATGCCTGAGGCTCCATAACTTGCAGCCTCTTATTCAGCCAATCATTCTGGCATTTCTGAGACCATTGAAGTTGAGGAGCAGTTATTCCCCCAGAGCCATCACTGATGTTGAAACAGAAGATGAAATATGAAAATATGACATCTGTTAGATGTCTGATATGCTGAGTTCATGTCCTCTAAAATCGAAGAATAGATTCTAGGAACAACAGAGGTTAAGAATAGGAAAATATTTATTGAGAGGATAGATCCTGGGATGCAGGAGGGGTCCCAATTGAGTGGCCAAGAACCCCACTTTTCAGGGAAGTTTTATAGAGCAAAACTCACATGGGTACAATGTGGGTTAAAGCTATGAACAACCAATAAGGTTACAAGTATAGTCAGTCACTTAGGTAATGGTGATCCAATGGGGAAACAAGTCACTTAACAAGTTTGCATGGAGAGAACAAAGAAAAGACTTTGTCTTTGTCACCAGGGTGACTGGTGTCTATCTAGACTTTATTAGGCCAGGTGTTATCACTTATCTTGTCCTTTGGGGAAGTATGCAGGCCTCGTCATTTCTGGCCTGGTCTCCAATGGATGCTTCTCTGGCCACAATGGTAATGTGTTTTACCTTTGTCCTGACTCTCTCGAGGGCCTAGCCCTATCTGACTAGAATATTTCTACCTAACTTAGCCGTCTATAGTAATGTGGCCAACACAGAAGGACAAGATAGGAGAGGGGTTTTATTAGTCCACCTTGGGGCCACAAACTTTGGAAGAGAAAATCAGGGTCAAAAGGATATTCTCCTAGGGAACACACCAATTTGTAGGAAGCAAATAAGGAAGAGGGGTGGAGAGTGAGGAATAACAGCCTAAGATGTAGGAGGCAAAGAGAGAAGAAAATCACAGACCTCAGGAGAGAAGGGCTGCAAGGGAGTGGTAAGGTGAGGGAATGGGCAGGTGGTGCCTAAGGTCCATTGGAGCCTCCAGATGACTATAACTCCCACTGGCAGCTTTACTGCAAGCACAGAACTCTGAGGCAGAACCACCCAGCTGAATCTCAGCTCCCAAATTCCTCATCCTCAGAAAGATGTGAAATAGCAAATGTTTGTTGTTGCAAACTGCTAAGTATTTGAGGAGCAATAGGTAACCAAGAGAGTGAGAGCCATTTCACAGAACAATGAGATAGTGCCCAGGAGATACATTGGACTCAATGGTGATTTAGACAAAAGGAAATAGGATAAGGAAATGCAAAAGAACTTCTTCTTGAAAGTTGACTGTGAGTAATTGACAAATGACTGGCAAAAATAGCAAGGATTTGGCACCAGGGAAGAATCTGTTGTTCTTCTTCAAACATGTAGACTATGTTTTTATTTCGAGAGGGAAACATCAATAGAGAACAAGCATTTGAGGATAAAGGTCAGGTGGGGATGCTGATGCATCAAAGTCCTTGAGGAGGCAAAGGAAAGAGGGACACATTTTCAGTGGGAATCCCAAAGGCTGGTGGCTCCAGCTTGTATGACTCTATCTCCTGCTGGCTCTGGGCCATTGCTGTAAGCCTGCCATCTCTAAGTTGCCTAGGCTTTTCAAGATCCCAAAACGTTTAAGTCTTCCCAACGCTCCCCCAGGAAAAAACTCAGAGACCCTGAATATCAAAGTGTAAGATAGGAGCAAATTCACAATAGGGACAATTTTAGATAAGTTCCAAGCATAGAATTTCATATGATCAGTTCTTGATATGTCTGAGTGTAGAAGCCGGGCTGTTGTAGGTTGGTTGCATACAGAAGGTAAAAGTTATCTTGTGAGCATTATAATTATGTCCCTCAGTAAAAGTCATGGGTTCAGGTTTCAACTCCACTAATTCAGATTTTATGATAATTTTATCCCGGTCTGAATTGTCTCTTTCATGCTTTTGATTCATGTTTCCCCCCACTTAATATGCTCTTCATCCCATCCTTTGCCAGGCTATGCATGATTAAGTCATAACCAAACCCACTTCATTCTGCTTTCTAACACCACCCCTTAACTCCTGTAGCTTTTCCTGGTGCTTCTTTAGTTGTTTATATTCTTAGAATATTGCCCAGTGATTCTATCAACACCTCTGACTCAGAGGCTATGTCTCATTCACCTCAATATTCTTAGTACTCAGTGTAACACCTAGCAGATAAGAGTGTGGTCACATGAGACTGTATGTAAAATGCATTTAACAAACTATGGATACATGGTAGGTTCTCCTTTATAATGTCTTCCCTTTTGACTGGTTGGAAGGATGAATGTAAATAGACAGATGTGTGGACTCACAAAGGAAGCAAGACAGATAATTTTACCTGTTTCTGAAGCACCCAAGTGAGCACAACGCTGTGTACCTTAGGAATGCGTTACTTCATTTTTGCATATCAGTGGGGAGCACTTGAGACAACTGCACTGAAGATCATTGTCAATTCTGACAACTTGCGGTCATTGGTCAGGAACTGGTTGAAGGGTATTGTGATAATAATGAGCATCCAATATCTTTGCAGTGCCAGTCTTGGTTTCTGACACCCCTGTGGTTGAGACTTTTGCACTCCAACCTGCCAAAATGAAGAAAATTCCCAGCAATCAATGTTGCCTGCGAAGCAAGACTTAGCATCAGGAGACACTTTCATACTTATCACAGCATTAGTATTCATAGCCACGATGTGAGATCAGCCAGGCAGGTGTTCATTACACAATACAACTTTGGTTAAATTTCATTCTGCCAAAGTGACGTTAAAGCCCACTCACTTGTCCTAGGGAAAAGCCAAGTACGTTTCTAGTTTTACTCATTTGGGCAGATCTTCCCTTGACTTTGAAGGAGGGGTGGAAAAGCAAGGGCTGTATGACAGATCCAAGGTATAAAGGAAAGGAAGGAAAACCCGTGCTAACGACAGAAGCCTACAGTTTATGGAATGCCAACTGCACCAGACAACTGACAGGCACAATGACACTTTGACCTTCACAACACTCTAAGGAAAATATTGTGATCTTTATTTCACAAATGTGAAAAAACATCAAGTTAAGGTTTAAATATAAAATGTGTCTCAAAGACTCATGTCTTGAGGGCTTGATCTCCAGTGCAGCAATGTTGAGATGAGGGTGAGAGAGGGAATTAGATGGTGAAGGCGCTGACCTCATCAATAGATTAGTCCATTAGTGAGTGCTTAACTGAATGAGCTCATTAGGAAATGGGCCCAGTGGCGTAGGCCTCGGGCATGGACCCAGAGGAAATAGGTCATCGGAGGCGGGCCTTTGAAGGCATATCCTGTCCCCCGCCCCATCCTCTCTCAATCTGTCGCTGGCACTTCCTGTTCACGCTGCTTCCTGGCTGCCATGTTGAGCAGCTGTCCTCCTCCATTCCCTTTCTCCATGATGTTTCTATGTCTGAGCTTGCCAGCCATGGCCTGATACCTCTGAAACCATGCGGCAAAATAAACCTTTTATCCTTTAAATTATATATGTCAGGTATTTTGTCCTAGCAAAGAAAAGCTGACTAATACACATAATGAGTTACTTGCTCAAATTGACACAGCTGAAAGCAGCCCAGTTAGGATTTGAAGTTGCCTTACTCCAAAAGTTTAATATTTGCCACATCAGTGCTGTGATTTGAATGCACCTCCCAAGTTTCACGGGCTGGAAATGTAATCCTTAAAATCACACGTTAATAGCATTTGAAAGGTGAGATCTCTGGGAGGTGACTGAGTCATGAGGACTCTGCCCCCTTGAATAGATAGGTCCGTTCCTGGAATACTAGGTCAATGGGTTATCAAAGGTGAATTTGTCATGAGGACAAGCTCTCTGGCCAGCTGGCCCTGGCCCATCGAGAGATGCCGTGCATACCTTGAGACTGCAGAGGAGCCCTGCCAGCAAGGAGGCTCTCTCCAGATGCAGCCCCATGGCCCTGGACTTCCAGATTAATAGGCTAAATAAAGCTCTTCTCTTTATAAATTCCCTAGTCTGTGGTATTCAATTACAGTAACAGAAAAATGAACTAAAATACTCAGGCTGTATTTCCAACACAAGGGTGTGAGCAAAGACCCCTTCCCTGTGCTTTTATTATACTATAATATCTTTATCAATTGCTTCCAATCTGTCTTTTTTTAAAAACAATCTTGCAGGATGTAGTTTCTCATTTTGTTTTTATGATGAATTTCTTTAACTTGGAGAAAATAATACGTATAATATAAACTGGATCTCTGTACACCCTACACCTTCAACAAATTCTGACAATTTGCCATTTTTCTTAATCATTTTTAAAAGATAAAATTTTTTGATTCAGTTTTTTGGTACATTGTAGGTATACAGTACAGTTACATTCATCATTGGGATCTTGTACCTTT